CCCCCCCCCCCCCCCCCCCCCCCCGGAGAAAAATCCTGGCCACACCACTGAATCATAGTTTTGGTAAAAAATTATCATAGACGCAAGTGTACCTCAAGTTTTACCGGAACTTGAGAATCATCAAAAAATGTATGATGTATACCATGAATAAATATAATATTTAAAATAGCAACTATCATACATACAATAAAAAATGAATAAAAGTTAAACAATCATTTTTGGTAAGTTATACAAAGGTCATAATTTTCATATATTAGACAAATAACACAAAAATCCTGTTTCCTGGGAATACTGTTGCAGATATATGAAATTAGTTAGTGTATAAATTTTTCATTTGTATATAATGTGGTTCTTATAAGAATTATACACAAATTCGGTTCTCTCTTGATAATTTATTATTCTTTAACGTAAAAATTCTGACATTTTTATCATTTCATCAGACAACATGTTAATTTGATACTTACATTAACATTTTGTAAGGTATTAATATGAAAAGAAAATATTTTTTGATCCCGAGAAGTATGTTTATAAGACCGATATCTCTGTATTATATTTTATTTTTTTACTTAAATGATCAGTTTCGAAGTTGTGATTATTTATTTTCATTAAAAAATTTAAAACAAAATTATTTAAATTTTAAATTATTCTGATTACTTTCTATTAAACCAACCGTATTTCAATATCTATGCAATTTAACCTACCTATATCACAAAATGTTCGTAAATTACTGATAAAGAGCGGATTTTTAGGTTCTTAAAAGCTTAAAATATGATGCTAATAAGCTCTAAAAAAACTGTGAAATAATCTCTAAATATTCCTTAAATTTGTAAATATGTAGATAACATGTTCTAAAAAAACCCTAAAATACTATCTAAATATTCTTTAAACTTGTAAATATGCGATAATATGATTTTTTTTCTTAAATAGTTCAATAAAAACATTAAATTACTCTTATAGGTAATTATTTTGGTAACAAGTAAATTATTTAAATATAAAAACTTAAAACAGTTCATACATATGACTATATAAATATAATTAAATTATATATGAAAATCAAAATAGTTAAGTAAAAACAATGAACAATTTGTATGCACCATTCCTTGGTAAAAGATAAATTATTCAAATGGAAAAAATGGATAATAGTTCCATACATAGGAATATAAATATAACAATCAAATTTTTCTTTCCCAGAAAAATTACAACTCGAGAAATTAATAAAATATGCTTTTTTATGAACAATAATTGAATATATTTAAAAATATGAAAAATAGGCTAAATATTCTTTAATGTCCAAAATATGTTAAAATATGCAAAATAAATGTTTTCCTACGAACTCTATAATGGATAAATCATCCACATTTTTCATCCTCGTAAATCTGCATAAAACCAATAAAAATATATAAAAACTTAAAGATCCGCTTTCTACTAACAAAGTAAGTACAACCTATGTTACGTCAAAGATAGTTTATATTGTTTATACAAAAATATAGCCTATAATTGTAATATACAAAAAGGATAAGTTATTACATGGACGATTCTTTTTTAAATAGTTATACGAGGAAAATTGAAATCATTGTTTAATTTTGAATAAAAACAGTTATAATATGATATTTTTATGAGGGTCGAAATAAATTATAAACGATTAAAATATTTTGTATAAAAACTATACTTTAAAATCCAATATATGCAAGAAAAATTCTCGGTACAAAAAATGTAAAATACTTTCAAAGACTGTACAATTTTGAGAACTCTATAAATATGTAAGATTTAACATATTGTTAATAAAATTTATCCGATTATATATTTGAAATAGACTGAACGTTATGAAATAAAAAAGCAACACCAACAAAAGGATAAAGATAAATAATATTTATATTTTATAAAGTTAAAAATATGTATTTTAGAACAGTTATAAAAAAATAATATTAATCGGACATACATGTACTGTAAATATTGTGACAACCAATAAAATATGATAGTTACACTAGATCTATTATGGTTTAGAGTTATGGGCAGAGATCAGCATAAAGTTGAACGTAGCTTAGTTGTTAGAAATTATAAAAAATTCTATTCTTTTTCTATGGTATTACAAACAAACCGACATAAAATAGCCATGAAAATAATATTTTCACTATAAACGTAAACGGAAAAATAAAAAAATTGTTTCAACATGTAATTAAAATGTATACTCTAAAATATATATTGTATACAATTGAATTTATTATAGGCTTTAACAATGACTTTACTATTTTTTATATATTTTTTTCTAGATGTTACCTTTAATCATAGGAAACTAAACGATATCTTGTGTACACAGAGATTATTTAATTTGTACTCATAACTTAAACTTTCATACACCTAAATATTTAAACACTTGGTACCGTATTAAACAAAAATTTATTCAAATAACCACCGACTTTTGTTATAACAATAACCAATAATGCAAATTATATTAATCATTACGGCGTATGAATAAAATATCAAATATGTTTTACGTTAGAATATTTCTTTATTATTTGGAATTATTTGGTATTTAAGAATAAAGCTACAATTCATGAAACCTATAAGATACACATGACGAATTATAAGAAGTTAGAAACATTTAAGTACTACAATATATGTAATCGTATGAACACTGTGCCTACCTGGCATTTCATTCAAAATAACAGTACATATTAGATTTAAGGTTTAATGGTTTTTATTATAATTATCATGAACCATGTTCAGAATATAACGTATCGATACCTAACATACATAATAATTTTCTAGCATATTATGTCGGTAAAACCAAAAATATGGATTATTATTAATAAATATATATATATACTAGCAGACCCAGCAAACGTTGTTTTGCCACATATTCCTAGTATTTCTGGTAGTATAAAATAGTATTTGTAGTATAAAAAATAACTAACTTATTGTAAGTAATTGTCTATGATTGAAAAATAAATAAAAAGATGCGAAAATGATATATATTCCTTACTTTACTCAAAAATCTTAATGTTTGGTACATCTATCGAATTTGTATTGTAACTCAGTGAATTTGGACAGGGTATATGTTTTATTTTTTATTCACTGATGAAAAATTGAAAAAAAACGTTAACATACGCTTTGCTTACAGATGAAAAATTTAAAAATTTACGGCCAGGATTTGGAATCTTTGCGATTGCATATAATAATAGGTAAGAAGAACAAACTGATAATTTCATGGATACAATAAATAAAAAAGACTTACCTAGTTCTCAAAGGATAACTCATCCGAAAATTTGGGTTTTTAACTTCAATCCACGTCAAATCCAGGTTGAGTGAGGTACAATTTGTTGTATCTATGAATTTTTGAAAACAGTCTACTATGAAAGTTAAAAAATATGAAGTTGATACCAAAACAAGATATATCTAAATTAGGGCTTACGATTTCCAACGGGTATTAAAAGTACACGTGTACACGGATTCTGTTAACCGTGTATTTGAAATTAAGAACCTGTGTATTTAAAACCGTGTATTTACCCGTGTATTTTTTAACGTATACACGGATTCTCATATATCCATCACGTTTAAATATATATATATATATATATATATACGGGGTTTTCTTAATTTTATGTGTATTTAGAAAATACAAAATTTAATTTATGTTATACAAAACGTTTTTTTATAAATAGAAATTTTTTACCTATATTGTTAAATTTGTTCTACGATAAAATCGTCTTATTGATGTACACTAATCCTCATTATGGTTTTACCTTATGCTTAATTTAATAGTTTAATAATAATACTCCCAGATCTAACAACGAAATTGAAAATTCCCATCGGATAGAAATTATTACTCTCAAGTTTTCACTGCGAAATGTGAGTCGGTATAAACTATTTTTATAATTTTTAAAAGTTAAAATAAATACTTAGCAATGCCAGCGACATCTGTCAGTTCTGAAAGATGTTTTTCAACAGCTGGAAATATCGTTACGCAAAAAAGGAACTGTTTGTTAATAGAAAATGTAAACACCAGGGATGGATCTAGGGGGGGGTTCAGGGAGTCAGCTGATCCATAGTTAATACCTCTAGTTAAAATATATAATAGTTTAAATAACCTATAATTAATATTTGTTGACAAAATTGGCCTCTTGGAAATTTTTTTCTTTTTTTAGACCTTGATTTGGACTCTTGGACAGTTGGCCCATCGGAATTACTTGAAAAATGAATGCCATGTATATTCAAAATTTAAAATTTTTCAATTCATTATTTATATTTTAAATTATATAATTTTAGTAGAAAGTTAAGTAAATTATATTTTATTCCGTACGTTTGTTGCGCTGAGAAAGTTAAATTATATTTATTAATCGTAAATAAGTCATTATCAGTGGTATCACTAATTCTAAAACGTAATATAAATATGCTTATACACTTTTATGAGTGTATTATGTTTTTTTTTTTTTTTTTTACTAGGTATTAATTTCTAATTCAGTTTCATCCCCAATAAATGGCCTCTTGAAATAGTTTTACTCACAGTTCCCCGCCTCTGGATTCGCCCCTGGTAAACACATTAGTTTTTCTGTATCAAAATAGAAATTTGATTGATTAAAATATTTATTAACTTACGTTACATATGTTTAAAAATTAATACATATTAGAATTTAAAACACATTTTGTTGTTATATGGTTAATTATTTAAAATTTATTATTATTGTTATTTATATTATATTGTTTGTCTTTATTTGATTATATAATAATTATAATATAGTTAATTTCTAATACCTCTAGTACTTACTACTTACCGAGTTTGTATTAATATACTATGACTTTGAAAGTATTCGTGTTATTAAATACACGTGTTTCATAATTACACGTGTATCCGTGTGTTTAAGTACATGTGAAATAGTAAGCCCTAATCTAAAGTTACAAATGACGATAAGAGGAATAACAAAAAAGCTTTTTTTAACACGTATAAATCGTCAACAATATAGCGATGAATTAATTAATTACCTCTGTAAATTTTGTATTATGTCGGCCCGCATATGATATTATTATTCGATGAAGACGTGATGAGAGAGCAAACGATAAAAGTGAAATCGAACAAATTGTACTTAACGAAAATCATTTTTGAGCCATTCAGTTATTATATTATTACTGCTTATTATTTATTAAGACTTCCCACATATTTATATATCAAAGGTCAAAAATTTCTGTACAATAGAAAAGGCAATGGAATTTTCAAAAATATGATAATAACAAACCCAAATAAATAGAAAAAAATCAAGAAACTATTCAAACCGTCCACATATAGAATTTTTGTACATAGTTCCTTTTTCGTTTAGAAAAACATACAAAAGGACTATTTGAAATATTTTAACAGTCAGAATTTTTATTTTATTTTTTATTAATGTTTGAACTTAAATATAACAACGATTGTTTTTAATATTTATCATACTAACGTGTTTTACATAAAAAACTTATATGTTTTATACTCCACGAAATTTTTTTATTGCAACATTTGACACATCTAAAAAATTAATAAGACGTGACTTATTAATAAGAAACTCAGGTATACACTCCCAACAAGTCCGTTCTGATCATATCACACGAAAAATAAATTATATGACTACGATTTTTAATTCTTATTATTTTCTTGGAAAAAACTTCAGCAGCTCATTTAATCTTGGTATTTATTTTTACTTATTTCGATGAAAATTCGTTGCTACGTTAAATTTTTTTTTTTTTTATTATTAAAAATCTTTTTATATCTTTTTAAAATCTTACACATTAAGATTGCAACAATCTGCATAATATTAGCAAATTTTTGAAATCAATCAACAATAATGAGTTCTCGAGAATTCAACTGCAACGTGTAAGAGCGTTTTCATCGCTACCCCAAATATTGTAATAGGTTGCATGTGTCAACTTTCTTTGACGAAATTCATCACGAGGTGAACTCAAATGTTGCACGCCTACATGGGACGGAAAACGTGCAATCTGTGGAAGTGCCGTGTAGGATGGTACCGTACCAGCTGTCGCCCACGGTGCATCGAGTACGTTTTATTATAGCTGTGAACGCGGTACGACGCTTGAATGACGTTTTCTTCTGGCCGTTTGTAATTCAATATCCACCCGCTCGATTTGATGACAATACCTCGTCCCCATGATTTTCAAGAGACAATACTGACTGCAGATATCATTGCGGACCACTCATTGAAAATAATTACTATCGTTTAATAAGATTACAGAGACTGTGAAAAAGTGCAACATTCGCTTTTGTACTTTGAACCGTATTAAAATAAAAAGAGTGAGAACTTGACGTTAAAAAAAAAAAAAAAATAATGAAAACAAAACTTTTCACGTAATAAAATTACTTTTTACAAGACGTTATTAAAGACGAAAATCGAGAAAAGCAACCTCTTTGAAGCGAACTATATAATATTTTATTTTATCGCCGCGTTCTTCCCATGATTTCATAAGTAGCTGTACAACGATTATTTTTCGTTTATTTTATCTTTCTATAATTTATCGTTTACCCACAAAATTTCGGCTCTCAACCCTTATTACGTAGACGCTTATACACATTACCAAACACTTTCTATTCAATACATGGCTTGTATTTATGGTTATCCGAACTTTCGGTGTGGAAAAAGAAATTAAGAAAGTTTTATCACAAATGTCGAGTCATTAATATCTTACATAAACACGTTATACACACGCGATTAGTTCAAATATGTTTAGGTAGCGTGTAGGTTCATTATTATATATGTTCTTTTTTATTTATTTATTTTTTTTGCAATCTCAGTATTTCCCTTCACCCGATCCCACGCTGAATGCAAAAAAAAAAATAAAAATATCCGAACTTAATTTGAGCTCCCTCACGGTTCACAGTGAGTATAAGAATATGGCCGTCAAGTCGTTTTAACATTTATGTGATCTCTGATGGGCTTAATTTATGCGTCATATGTCGTCACAAAAATTATTTGTGGTTGACCTTTTTCTAGATACAGATTTTTTTTTTTCGGCTTATGCTTAATTTACATTTTTCTGCTTTAGGTCGTACCTCTGAATAAATATACAGAAATGTTGTATTAGAGAATTATGATTTTTTATATGTAATAATACTTTACCCTCAAATGTTATACGCCAGATTTCAAGGGGCTTAATAAAGGTAATTCAAAGGAATTACAAAGATAAATTAAAATTCAATGATTAAAACTAACGTAAATACATAATCAAAGAATATTTTCTAGTGGTCCCGCATTACAAAACTATTTTCAAAAATCGTTTGATGCGAGAGTGGTATTATTAATTCATATTTTGTAGCCCAAAGGGAGAAATTTAATCTATAAGTATTTAGTTAATGTTGAGGATAACATCATTTGTATGCACTTATTATTTCTGATAAAGCTAATATGGCGAATGTTATGTTACCTAGAAGAACCTCAACAACTCAGTTGTAATAATTAATAAAATATTTTTTTTTTTATTTAGAACTTTTAGCTATTATTTTTAAACTATTACGGTTAAAAAAAATAAAAATTAAATTTACATAATTTATATAAAAAATAACAATAAGCGAAATTAATAATTAACCATACTGATATAATAATAGATAAAAAAAATAAATAATATGGCAATTACTGAAAATAATAAACAAAATAAGCTGAGAAGAATTACTACCATAAATATAACGTTAGCAATATGAAAAAATAACAATTAATAAAATTATGAGGGCAGAAATCACCCATTGGTAATAATCCTGATAATAACATTATAAAATTGATATAAATTAATTATTATCATAAAATACAATTTACTAATATTTGTTGATTAAATATGGGTCAAATACTTATTAAAATTTACTAACAACAGATAACATTCAGTGATAAAATACGTGATAAATTAAATTAATAAGGACGTAAAGAATTTGTTCTGTGGAATATGCTGTTTGTGTAACATTAAAACAGCTGTAAGAAGGAAAATGAGAGGATTTATTAATGCCAAAGATCTGAAATAAATTAGAAAAACGGCTTATCGTTCATAGGGATATTATTAGGTAATTAGATATTATGAGAACCAGTGACGAAAGAGTAAGAAGCTTTGAGAAGGTGAGAAGAAGATTTGATACTCTTATCACGTCTCCTCTGAGTCGTGGATACAGAATTAGTATTTTGATGATTTGATCTGGTTGTCTTGCGATGTTTAAGAA